AGAGAGAGAGAGAGAGAGAGAGAGAGAGAGAGAGAGAGAGAGAGAGAGAGAGAGAGAGAGAGAGAGAGAGAGAGAGATGGTAGAGAGTGAAAGAGAGGGGGGCGGAAGAGAGGAAGGGAAGGGAGAGAAACAGTAGGAAGAGCACGAGAGAGCAGCAGGAGAAAAGATCGTTAGTACAGGTTGTCTCCTCTACCTCCGGCCTGGTTGGACTCCTGCCTTAGGCTACCGTCTTCAACCAAATAAAACACCCGGTCATGATCGTTGCATCTGGTCTGAAAGTTACCCCAAATACAGCTATAATGACCGGACATTCTATTCAGGTGAAGATGGTAGGGAGAAATAAGACGACAATTTCCTCCTGCAACTGCAGCTCATACTCTAGTATACACTCCAGAAAGAGTCTAAAATGGCCTTTCTGCTACAGGGACTGGCCCTGAAGCTTAGGAGCCCCCGAATAACCCTACGGTTTGGGCTGAACGTTCTCCGTGGAGGTATATCCAGAACTGTAGCAGCAAATATAACTTTTTTTTTTTCCGTTTGTGAGACAGACAGTTGTCACAAAGTCCCAAATAGCTTCCTTCTCAGGGCACATGATCAAACTTGTCTTTCATCATGATACTGTGTATCCCAGACTGTCCACATAGTCTCTTGGTGTTCCCACGTATTCTCCTTTCCGCGCTGCCGAAACATTACAATCCAGGATACTGAAGGTTTCACCCTTCAGCTGGACACTTGACAGTCCCTACACGATCATGTGGGAATCAGTTCGGAATCAACCACGGCACCTACAGCCCCTATGTAATCACAACCTAACAAAATAATATCTAGATCTGTGCGGGTTCACAGCGTCACGATGCCTGTCTCCTGACCCCCTTGCACCCCCTTTCTGTTCCCCCCTGTCTTAAACCGTTTTTCCATTTGTCATCCTCGCACAGCCAGCATGCTAATCTTGTCAGTATTCGTCCAATTCTAATGGATGCTCCGAAGGTTACCCACCCACTTGCACTGCCATGCTCCATGACTAACCTAATCCTACCGACCTGAACCAATCCACCTTTAACGGGGCACAACCCCTGGTAGTCAAAGAGAACATCCTGATTAGTCTGAATCATTGCCAACCCTGGGAACTTTAGCAGAATGAGGACCACTGAAACTGCAAGAGGGCCCAGGGAGGAGGGCAGAGAGGCCACGGGGTGGGACAGACGTGGAATGGGTTGCATCATTGCAGCAACGCATGATTGGCATACCTGTTAGGAAGGCCATCCACAGAGCGCCAATGCATCTTCTGATGAAGGATTGGCTGCACAATTGCAAGCAGAAGCATCGAGATCGAACACCAACGAAACAGTAACAGGCCGATTTATATTTAAAAAAAAAAGAGTTTAATATACCATTTTTACAACTCCACGATACAAACTAGACTGGACGGTCAGATAACTCTCAGGGCCAGGCTCCACCACAGGGGCTATGTTGGCCATCAAAAAGCACAAACCTAGTCGAATCACTGGCCAGGTTCATGCTAACATACATAGCACAAACATAGCACCAGTGGGATCTGGTCCAGAGACTGCAAAGCTGAGCGCTTCCAAGCGCAACTGTGATTCCAACAACACCCAACCTGCACATAACGAGCAGTTTCTGACTCTTTCATTCAAAGGCACCAGAAAGCACATTCTCCACAAACTTCGTTTCTGTGAACTGTAGTCTATCAACGGACTTAGAACACAGGATTCACGAGCGGAAAATACAAGGCTAGACCAAGCGGAATTCAGGGGTGTATTCTAATTGGATTGGCAAACATAGCATAAACAATTCCTTTTGCACATAGCGGATCAGTTCATTTTACACACAGCTGCTCACTCTCTCTCCTACTTTTTGACTTTTTCACAGCAATCCAGGGAAGGATCATTTTGGTTAAATAAAAAGGGTTAGAGGCTTGGTATATAAAAAGGCTCATTGATGCTAGTATTACACAAACTCAGATCGGTAGTACAGGCATCCATTTCCTTTCCTAGTCACCTCTCTCTCTCTCTCTCTCTCTCTCTCTCTCTCTCTCTCTCTCTCTCTCTCTCTCTCTCTCTCTCTCTCTCTCTCTGTGTCTCTGTCTCTGCAGACACACAAACAAGCACAAAAACACAATCCAAATTAACGTTCATGAATCTAGTCACATTTTGGACGACCGCCCATACATACGATCCACGAAGCTTGCTGAAAGGGAGGGGCCAAACTCACTCAATCAAGGCACCAGTCAGGGTCATCGGCTAGGGAGAGCGGTCAGATTGACAAGAACGACAAACCAAACCTGCAGATCACGCGCAAGCCATGAGAACTTCAAGTCTTGACCGAAAGCACTCCAGTTCAGAATCCATCTTGTGTCTCCTGGTCTGTCCTTATCTACCTGCAATCAAGACACTCACAGCACTAAGAGGAATGTGTGAGCAATCCAGACACTCTCAGCAGGACGAGCAATGTGTGAGCATCCTGAACAGAAGTGCCAACATTAACAAATCCTCTATCCTACTGTGCGGTAACCAGCCAGCCGCTACCGGAAATGAAACTCAGAGATGTGGCCAAAAGGAAGCCACCAGGGCATAGCCCCTCCGTTTCCTTACAATCTTTGATGCATGGCTATTCCTTCCATCTGTACATGCCTTCACATCTTGACCAGAAACATGGAGGAAAATGTGGAATTTCATCCCTGACATCGCCTTTAAATGCACGAGTTCCATGAACTGACGGCAAACACTGCACAGTAACCATCGCAACACAGAGAGAAGGTTCTGGAAAGGTCTAGTGCTACCTTCTTCCCCCGAATACAACATACGGTCATTATAGCTGTATCTAGACTGAAAGATGCCTCAAATACATCTATAATGACCGTACGTTGTATTCGGGTGAAGAAGGTAGCCTACCTGTAGTAGTAAATTAGTAGGCCAGGTCTTGCCTACAGAAAAAGGTAGGCTACACAACACCCATCGCAACACAGAGAGAAGCCTACATCCTGCAATTGTCCCTCGATCAAGCAATGTACAATATAAGCATATAAGGTGAGAGCGTTTAAAGTCTGGCTATGGTGTCCATCCTTTAATTGGAGAAGTTGGTTGCACAAGTAAGAGAGGATTAGCCGCGTATACGCAGGGTGACAATTAAATTAACATTTCAGCTATCAGTGCATCCACACCACTTTGCCGGTCTCGGTCATGCAGCTTCGAAGTACCCCAATGGCCAGCCAGTTACCATTCGTATCTCCAGATCACTTGTATCTGGATTCTGCAAGGATTTTCGCAAGGCCAGAAGTAATCCGGTTTTGAGGGAGAAGAATTAGAGTGGTGTCATGCGGGTTTAATCCCTATCGCGAGTATTCTCTCTCTCGCTTCGCCCTTTCGAACTCATTTGACTTAGCCTTCGTCCATCGGGGAGAAAAGAAGGGGGATCAAACCCCAGAGTCCTGACCTTAGCAGCTTTTTGAAGGCCATAAGTCCTATCGCCTAAGACCTGATACAAAAACATATAGGAACCTGGAAAGCCTTTTAAGTTATACAGACATAGGGAATCCAACCCAGGACCTGAAGGAGTCTAAACCCTAAGCCCTTGAACGTTATGCAGTATCAGGGCCTAGTTCCACACCACTAACAAAAAGTTAACCTAGAACTACAGGTCAGGCCTAGAATTGCAATCATGATTTTTTTTTTTTTTTTTTTTTTTTTTATCGTGATTAATCTTCCCTAATCAGTTGTATTATTACCAGTCCATACCTTCCTGGAATACGTCTGGAATTTGCTGCCAGAGAATACAGGATGGCCAGCGAGAGAACAAGGTTGTATCGCAGCTGTCACTTTTCTTTTTTCCCATATTAGTATGATATTACCTCTTGGAATTTTCAAGATACCCCCCCCTCGATCGAGGAGTAGGTGACTTGAATCCTACGGCGCTGCGGGCAGGCTGGCATTTTCTTCAGCTGTTGCCAAGGCACCCTACCTAGATAGCACGGGGAGACTTGAAACATCATTTTGTGATTAGGGTAAGTTTAGCGAGTGGTGGAACAATCGCCGACCAAATTGCAGGGCAAATTCTAGTGGTCTCGAACAAGACCCTAAACCCTAAACCCTAGACCTCAACGAGGCCAAACCCTACAACTTACACCCTCACCTCATAAAGTGTCTATCCCCCCTAGACCTTAACGCAGCTACACCCTAACACTTAGACCCTTAAGAGTTTCTGGCCATTTTTGGAAAAATGCCAGGATGGCCAAGTATGATAACACGAAATACACCGATCATTTACACTCCTATGATCCATCCTGCGGCAGCCAACACAAAGTTAACCCTGATAGTTAAGTTAACCCTGATAGTTCACTTGGGAACATGGTTGACCAATGAATGTCGTCTTTGCACAGTATGCACGCTACTGATGCTCTTAAAAAAACACCAGTACTTGGCCCAGCTATCGATGCCGAGCCTGAATATGCCCTGCGCGCCATTTCGCGCCTACCTGCCAGCGAAACAAAAAAAAATTGTTTTGGCTGGCGGTGTCAGCCTTTCAGGTCCGGTACCCCGGGCCTCCGAAACTAGCGGGGCATTAACGACAACGCCCCGCGGCCGACATATGGGCCAAGTACTGGTGGTTTAAGTCCTTCCAATAACTGATTAGGTTCAAAAGACTGATCAGATACCATTCGCTGCATTATTAAGCAAGCTGTAGTTCAACAGAAATTGATAAAGATCGACCTGTCCCAGCAACCAGCTATAGATGCACAAAACCAATTACTAGGTCCTGTAGGCGACAACCTCCTCCGACCAGAATTTGCCCCTGATGACCTTATCCACACTCAATCCCAGAGCTTCGCGGGTCAGTTTTACAGCCCAAATGCTGCACAGCTACTTCCTCTTCGCACGGGGAGAAACAATTCAAGGGGAGGGCAAAAAAAAAAAACATTACTTACCTGCCTCCCTGTCAGCCCGACGATACACAGACGTAATTCTAGAGTTGAAAAACGGACCAAGAATGGAATCCCATTTACTACAACAATGCTTGGGGCTGTATACCCCCAGTTGAGCAATTTGCAAGCCAGTAGATGCCGCCGCCCACATTTCACCCGTCACCATGATGCTCTGTCGCTCTTGGCTTCGATGAAGCTGCATCTTCCCCCACCCAACTTCCGAGCAGCTATGGCAGCAGCCATATATATACTCTACAAGCTTCATTCTTGGCTTCATAAGAGAGCTATACACGCACACGTATGATAGCATTCCCACGTTGATTGCTGCCATTTGAAAAAACCTGGTCGTTTTAAGGAAAAAAAGCAAAAGAAAAAGAACTGAAAAAAAAAAAAAAGGCCAGGAGGGTATTCACCCTCGTGGAAAGGTAACTTGTATCTGTAGAGTATAGGTCCGTTCTGCTTTGACAGATAACAGACTGCATTGTTGCATTTAATTATTTTTTTCCCGAATTTGGACCATTTCTCGATTTATGCGTGTCATCCTTGAAAGTGCAGGGAGGGGCCATGCTGCTAATTACCCTTCTCTGTATCGTTCCAATTTTGACGGATGTCCCGAAGGACATTGTTGCATTGTTGCCTCCCGCTAGAGAAATTTAATACATTTTAGGCCTACAGCGGCGTGCAGGCGGGGTCTTTAGGATAGGGAACGTTCGGGGAGATTTGTGTTTCAGGGTGGTTCTTTTTGAAAAGCCTTTTCCTGATCGGAAGGTGGACCCTCAGAGGTAAATAGTGAGGTGGGGGAGCCGTGAGGCTTAGTACAGAGTATGACCATAGTGCAGACGGTTGAAACGCATTGAGGAACGTGCCCTACTTGAGTTCAGGGAACACGTGGGTCTGCAGCTCTCTATTTAAATGAGCTCGTGTTCGAAAAGCAAGTGTCAGCCATTGCTTCTTCTTCTTCTTCAAGCAAGTGTTGGTCATTTCTTCTTCTTCTTCTTCAAGCAAGTGTTGGTCATTTCTTCTTCTTCTTCTTCTTCTTCTTCTTCTTCTTCTTTTCAAGCAAGTGTTGGTCATTTCTTCTTCTTCTTCTTCAAGCAAGTGTTGGTCATTTCTTCTTCTTCTTCTTTTCCTTCTTCTTCATCTTCTTCTTCTTGTTGATCGGAAGAGGGACGCTGGAGCCGGCTTCCAGCATTAGCCGAAGCTGAGTAATGGCTCCAGTACTTGTTGTTCTCCGGGTTGATTTGTGAGGTCCGTGGCCTCTTCTGTACTATTCTAACATGGAAAAAAAAAAAAAAAAAAAAAACAGCTTCTCAAACTAAAGACTGATACAGATAAAACACCTGATGATAGGCTGACACTCATCCAAACTCGCGCAAGATGTGGGAGGTAGCTGAAGAATGAAAGGACCCTCGCCTCTTCTGTACTATTGTGCGAGTGAGCTTTTCATTATTATTATTAAAAAAAAAACAAAAAAAAACTACTTCTTAAACTACAGACTGATACGGACAAAACACCTGATGATAGGCTGACACTCATCCAAACTCGCCCATGTCGTACAGTCTTCCGTTACACACCTTTTTTCTGGCGGGTAAGATGTGGAAGGTAGCTGACGAATGAAGGACGGACGAAGCAGAGCAGTGTTCAACTTGGCCGACCTCGTCTGATTTGATGCTACATAGCTCGATCATACAGAGTATGATGATAGGCCAACTTTGGGCCTCGCTCCACTACTCACCACATCATCCACATGTGCAAAATGAGAATGAATCTTCCGCCTGAACATGGGAAGATACGCCGCCATACTTCTTGTCTTTTGTGCATGTGGTGGTGAGTAGTGGAGCGAGGCCCTTTGTCTGATACGAAAGGGCCTCGCTCAATTGCATATGGAGCCGTTAGTGGTCACAGCACATTCGAAATGTTCGATCAGTGCGAGTGTATCTGGTCGTGAAGATACGGGTCGAATCTCGAGTAGTGGAGCGAAGCCCAAAGTAATGTTGGCTGACCTTCCTCATATAGTAAGACGGGGCTCATTTAACGCTACAAAGGTAGCTAAAGAGGGAAAGGACGGAGCACTGCCAGGCGCTCCCATTTCTTCTTCAACTACTCACAAATTTAGTCATATCGTAAGAAGGGCGTCGTTGCAAAGTGAATGAAAGGATAAACCAGACGCAATGGAAGTGTTCTTCCTCATGCATACATCATCCTCTGTCTGATAATGACTCTGATTACAATCAGCAAGCAGCATTGCTGCCCCCCGATGCAACGATGCACCGATGCATGACTGAGTCCTTTTGGGATCATAAGCTTAGCTCGATCACTCTGTGTTTCAGGCTTTCAGCGCAATTTTTTTCCGAATGGGTCGTTAAGCCTGAGGGCATCTCTGCTGTTCACTGGTTCAGTCGGTCTTGCAAGGTGACCCGGAGCGCTGTGTGGTTGACGTTGTTCGGTGACATGAATGTAACTCTCTCCTTTGATCAATTGGATAGCACGCAGGAGGTAATATAGAACAAAAAAAGGGGAAGGAGACAAAGAAAAGGAAGGAAGAGGAGGGGAAAAGGTGACAGATAATCGAGAAGAAAGAAAGCGTAGAACAAGATCGACGAAGTGAGAAGGGAGATGAAGGGAGAAGAGGAAAAGGAGAGAAGAAGGGAGAACGAGTAGAAGGGAGAGGGAGAAGCAAGGAGACGAAGAGAGGAGAAGGGACATGAACAAGGAGAGGAAGATCCAGAAGCAGGAAGGAAGGAAGGAAGGAGAAGAAGACGAAGAAGATGAGCAAAAGAAAGGATTCCAAAGAGGAGGAGGAGGAGGGGGGAACGGAGGAAGCGAAGAAGAAGTGAGAAAAAGAAGAAGAAGAAGCCGGAAGCAGGAAGAAAGGGGGAGGGGGTGGGGGCAGAAAAAGAAAGGAAAGAAAAAAGAAGAGGAGGGAAAATAATAAAACGTGCATAGTACACCATGTTATGGTATCGCAAGGGGAAAAAAATACCGGACATACTTGATGCCAGCTTCAGGTACTTTCTGATTCACTCCTCACAGCGTGCGTCTTCAGTATGGGAGAATGCCCCTAGCAATTGACCTTCCTTGAAAGGGACTGAACTTAGGCAAATTGATAACATTCTGAACTCAGGCAAATTGATAACATCCTTACCTTCACTGAAGAGATCCAAGGCATGAACTCCGGGATCTTCTCCCGATCCATCCATATATCCCACGCCAAAGTAACTGGCACTGACGTCTTCACGGAGGCACTGCAGGACACGATGACAAGCAGATACGCAGATACGCAGATACGCAGAGAGGGAAGAGAGGTACGAAGGAGGAGGGAGAAGAGGGGCTCTGCGGCAACAGGGCATCGCTACCGTAGTGCTCAGAGACACAGTGAAGATGAAGCAAAACGTTAGCAAAGCACAATTTTTTTTACCGTCACAACATAGATAGGGTGTCATCATAGACACCAACGGGCCTAGCTCAGTTTGTACACCCCCCATGAAGTGCTGAATTTACAAACTGAGTTCGATCCAGATGCAATCAAATGAACAAAGTAAAGTAATTATAAAGTAATTGTGAATTACCTGCGGCCTGTGCCGTCAATACTGAATATCTCAAGAGCGTCGCCCTTTTTTTATAAAAAAAAAAGAGCGTCGCCCTTTAAACCACTGCAGTACTTCCTAGAGTCGTGTCGTGCCCGTTAACGCGCCACGATTTTAGGAAACGTATAGGCCACTATAGGAGCGCCCAGATTCATCCGACTACAGCAGAATCGTTTCTACTCCTTTTTTTTCCACGGCCTATAGCTGGGCCAAGTACTGGTGGTTTAAATTCACAAACATTCCCGGGAAAAAAATTAAAAAAAAATTACAAACACGGACGTTATCACAGATCTAACGAAAGAGACTTCGCACAAAATCCACAAGTGCGCACCCCATTTGAGTTGCGTTGAGAAAACTCACAGTCGTCATCAAAAATTGAAGAAACGGAACAGTTACTCAGAAAAGAAGAGATGACACTGCACATGCATGGATCACACACTCACTAACAATCTCCCGCCAGAATGTGGGTGACCCACATCGCCCTTTCCTCCCGCGAAAGGCCGGCCTGCCACGTGCATACTTCTCCCTCTCTTGCCCTGACAAGTTTGTGCTGCGCGTATCTCTCCCTCTCTCTTGCCTCCCACGAAGCGCCAGCTTGTCACGTCCACCCGTCTGCCTATCTTGCCTCCCGCGGACCCGTGCCGGCGGTTATGAGCCGCAGCCTGGGTAAGACAGAATACATTTGTGGGAGGCAACAAAAAAAAGCTCGCATGCGATTCCCGTGTCTGGTGGGTAGGTAGCCGGCTTGGAAACCCCCTCTCTGAAAGACCGCACGCATGAAACACAAACCAGCCTACACTGTAGTCTTGTACTGCTCACCCATCCCACAGCCGTGCGCCCATATTGTCGACTTCGCGCTGAGCCTCGTCTTTTTGTTTGCTTTTCCCTTTCTGTGTGTGTGTGTGTGTGTGTGTGTGTGTGTGTGTGTGTGTGTGTGTGTGTGTGTGTGTGTGTGTAAGTACTCTGTTGTGTCTATCAAAGGTCTGTTATCTTATGCAATCTTCTTTTGACCCAAGGTAAAGCTAAGGCACACGTGCGCTGCCTCTTGATGTTAGCCAATTGGCACACCTGTACACTTGCATCAGTAATTCGGGAATTGTTCAGACCCTGCTCTCTCTCTCTCTCTCTCTCTCTCTCTCTCTCTCTCTCTCTCTCTCTCTCTCTCTCTCTCTCTCTCTCTCTCTAGCCCCGTGCCCTCACACACACACACACACACACACACACACATCCCATGTCCGCTTGCACTCTCAAATCCAAGGACCCGCAAGACTGAAGGTCAGAAGGCCCCCTGTCTCTCGCACCTGTTTTCCACCCAGGTTGCGCTCCACCTCGCGCCGTTCGCTACTTCTCCTCGGCCCATCGAGGTGCCGGATAACTCGCGCAAGCCGACGGGCTGCCTAACCCTCGTCCTGCTCCTGCTCCAGATCCTGGCCGCGGTCGCCCAACAGACCGATGACCAACGACCAGTCGCACAACTGCTGCATTCGTCGGTCCGGGATCGATATCCGCTCCGACCCGTCAGGGGATTTTCGGCCGGTCGACCGATCGAGAGTGCGGAGCTGGACACTCCGTACGCCGCCGATCTGCCGAAGCCCTGATGACGTGCACGCTGACGTGGATGGCAGCACATCAAAGCATTCCTCATCGACGCCGCCGAGGCCACGCCTGTCGTATCTGCCGCTCCCATAACCGGATTAAACGGATGGAAGAAGCGCGACGCGGCGACCCTCCGACCAGCTGACGAAGCAGCGCTTAGCGTGTGGGGAGAAGCTACAGCCGATCTGCTGTGAATCGAGCCGGAGGTCGGTCGGCTCTGAATATTCATATGACACGTGTCCTGGCGCGTCGGGTGCACTGTACCCTCAAAAGCGTGAAGCCGTAGCGTAGGCGCACGCACGACGTCCATGGCTGCTGCCATTGTCAAACGCGCCAGGGAACGAGAGCCAGACTCAGAGAGAGGGCAGAAGGGCCGGAGGAGCTACGAGAAACGAAGACGGTGATGGCGCGTGTTTGAGCGACGAGACGGTGTGGCGCAGCAGGGCGCGTTGTAGTCAAGTCATGTTACCGTAGGCAGAGATGACCGGCAAAAGTCGAGATCCCGGACTGGCTACTGCGGTGAGGGTTCGGCGGGAATTTCGGCGGAGAAGTGCGCCAGCGGAATTTTTTCTTGTTTTTTTTCTTTTTTTTCACCATTCGTTTTCAAAACAAAGCGAACCAAAAAAAAAAACAAAAAAAAAAACAAAGCGAACCGAGGCCGGGGGCTAGGTCCCACTTGCATGAATTAAGAGATACTGACCGTAGATATCAAAGATCAACGGCCGAAATCTCCTAATTTGCGCAAGTGGGACCTTGCCCCGGGGACCTCACAATTCAACCGGGAGTTATCCTGGCAGCATTAGCCAGTTTCGCTTATAAGTCTGGGAGAACCGGAACCGAAGACGAATACCAATACCAAGCAATCTCTCTCCTTTTTGGTTACCCAATTTCGGTTACGGCCCAATCGGTCAAGAACGACTGCTAATCTATGAAGTAAGGGCCAGATCCCACTGGAAAAGAGGATTGGAATAAGTGTCTGCATCTGGACGTGTTCAACACAGATATGCAGAAAAGCAGATCAATCACATTGTTTTGCACCTCCGTACAAACACGTCCAGATTCGCACACTTATTCCAATCCTCTTTGCCAGCGGGATCTGGCCCTAAATCCTGCCTAGTAACTAACTCCACCCATCGAATTCAGCGGAGTTTCGACGGCAGGCACTGGGTTACCGATCAAGTCTACGACGGGGCCGAAATCAACCGAGTAGACAAATTCAAGTCTACGACCGGTCCTACTCGCCACCGGAATTTCGGAGGAAAAGTGCGCCGCCGGGCCAAGGTCCCACTTGCACGAATTAGGAGATTTCGGCCGTCGATCTCGGCTATCTACGGTCTCTATCTCTTAATTCGTGCAAGTGGGACCTAGCCCCGGAATATCGCGGGCACTGCGCGACGGCGAGTAGGACTCATAGCGTATGCCTACAATTAGGAGTAGTGGGAGGTAGGCCGAGTACTGTGGATAGCTGTCATTGGTCTAGTATCTCACCTCTACAACAACCTGGGCTTTTCAAAAAAAAAAAAAAGGGGCTAGTGTGTGCGTAAACAGCCCGATAGGTTTTCAGGTGGGCACGTTCTACCGGTAATCGCCAATCACATAGCGACCGTGGACACTCTTCGGCGGAGCGTGCCAAAAAAAAAAAAAAAAAAAAAAAAAAAAAAAAAAAAAGGATTTTCGCGTGTGTGTGTGTGAGTGTCCTGTGAATGAGAAGTAGACTCCAGGTATTTCTCTGTGACCGATAGTGTACAATTAGAGCGCCGTGCATAAGCGGTGGCTGAACGACGCGCACAGAAAAGCTCCCGATGAAAGAGCAAGAGTTCAAGTGCATCCAGCCAGAACAATAAGGGCCACGTAGGGACATAGGTGCAGCGAGTGTCATGGAGGGCTACGCGTTTGACGAGGGTCGTGGGCATCCAGGAGCCGCAAGAGTGAAAGTCGTTAGAACAAGGGGTAACTAGACATGTCTGCCACCTCGCCTTCGACCCATGGGAGTGGGAGGGGTCCATTTTCATCAAGCAATACACCGTAAAGAACGGCTATACAGCATCAAGGAGAACAAAACCAGCTTCCCAGACGGTAAGAAAGAAATGGGAAACCTATTCCATTCTGTGGCAAACAGACCTTGAGAAATTTTCCTAGGGGGGGCAGACAGGCGTGCCTCCGCTGGTTCTAGCATTTGCGCTCGGACCAGGCACGGTCCACCGGTAACGGGAGGAGTGTCCTGGCGAAGGGAGCTACCGCCGTGATAGCACCTTCGTAGGGGGTATGTCCATCATGGCGCTAGCCATGGAGGACATGCCTGCAGACACCCGGTATCCGGACAGAGGAGGCGAGTAAGTAGACCTAAGACTAAGCGAGGTGAGCGCAACATCAGGAACAGGAGCAAGCGGACGGAAAGAATTAGGGTTGACGTCAACTAAATCGAAGGTGTGTTAGTGAGAAGAGAGAAGGGGAGAAAGCACGATGGTGGATGTGAAAGAGGAAAGGGGGGGGGCCAGATCTCCGCCCCGAAGACCAGACCAACCTATGGACGAGGATGATGACAGGGTTCGGGAACTAGCAAGACTATGTTAAGACGAAGGGATTCTACCAGGGTCAATCAGCCCTCGGGAGATGACAGTGAATGGTAGGGAAGTCACTTTCAAGGTGAACGATCAGACTGACAGAACGAAAGTGCAGTGGCTGAAAGACCACACAGTAACAGTGATCTTAGGGGGGGGGGGGGTTGTCGGCGCGAATACCCTTACAAGCGTATCCACTCTATTTTTCGCAATTGACAGAAAAAGATTTTGACTTGAAAAGTTGGGTTTGCCGCGCTGTGACGAACTATCTTCTGTAACCGCGCGATTTCCTGCGCGAGGCTGTTGTGGGGAAACGGGAGGGCTCTGATGGGTGACGGGGCGTAAGCAGGGATCGGTTGGGCAAGTTGCATGGATGCCCTCGCTTCTTTTTCGTTTTTGTTGGAATCCGTCGGTCTGGTGCCGGGAAAGTCCCGCGCCGATGAGTGAGTGACCGCGCCCTAGCGAGCGCGAGAAATAACGATTGCCATAGCTTCTTTCCTGTTCTGCTGTGAGCACTAGGAATTTTGGCGCGATTAGCGCGCGGGAATTTTCGTTTTTAAAATTTGAACGAATGTCAAGCCCCCGCAGGCTCTCGCAATTGTTTTTCTTTCGGAATTTTTTTTTGCAATAAGGATTTAGACTAGGATTTAGGCACCTTGCAATTTGGTTGCACGACGCTTCTTGCTCACACTAATCGCGCTTGTGAAATTTATAGCATGCATGCTTGCGCGAGGGATACAGGATTAGCCCCAAGTGATGAGAAAGAGAAGAGAGGAAGTGCTTACGTCTGCATGTCCAGGCCGCGACGCGGGGGACGGAGCCACTCTCCGCGCATCGATCCGGGCATGCAAACGTGGGAACCACTTAGAACAGAGGAAGAAAGTGTGCATGGGAAGATGAGGCAGGAAAGAAGGAAACACAAAGGTCATAAAGAACAAGAAGATTACAGTTGCGATTGCGCCCATCAAAAACTACAGTTATACACAAGATTAAGGCGCAGATGGAAATTAGAGCCCAGACCCTGTCGAGGCACGGCGCGAGGTTAGCGCGATCAGTGAGGGTCGGCTAACGAGCAAGTCTGGAAGGTGAGTGAGTATGAGAGTTGGGCGATCCGACGAGCTGGTGTCAGGTATGCGGGGTTGACGTGCAGGGCCGCGACGGACTGTGGCGCACGGGCGAATCTGGCTTGCATGCTTGGACCAAGCGGGGTGACAACTCTGTGTTGATACGCGGTGACGGACTGCCGGTATCGTGGTGTTGATGTGAGGTGACGGACTGGCCGCAACGGAAAGGGGGAGAGAGGGAGGGAGAGGAGACGGATCGGGATGGTGTCTTTTCCTTTTGTTTCATTTTCTTCCAACCTTCCTGTATAAATTTTGGATTTCCGCCTTGGCCAATTTTGTTGCGGCAACTTCGGATTTTCTTGTGAATCATTTTGCATTTTGGTGTGCGTGATCATTTGTTTTCCACCCTATCGATCTTGCATGGTTGACAGTCCGATGAATGATTGTACTTTTCACTCTCTGTTTGCGACGTGATTGCCCTTCTCAACTTCTTGCAAGATTGGTGGTTTCTCTTTGAATGTATGTTGTCTCTTCTTTGGATCTAAGATACGCACTCTTGTCGATTCCTCACCATCACTAAACCTGAATGAGTCAGAGAGAAATTTCATTGTTTTGATAAACGCATGAGTGAGAACTTGAGGCGTAATGGTAGAGTAGATATGTGTGCGCAATAGTCGCAATTGCAAGGACCCGTGATTGGTTGTTCGCGATTGACTATTCGGGAGGGACTGAGGGGTCGCGCACGACATGCGCCTTAGGAAGGGGGAAGGCAGTGATGATGGGTACTAGAAAGTGACAAAATTTGAAGTAAGCTAACCCAGATCGTATGGTGGCGCGACCTATCCGAGTTTAGTTTCACCACTGAGCATATCAAGGGTGAGACTAATCGGGTCGCAAATGCCTTATCCCAACGCCCTGACCATGATCAGCAGCAGATCCAACTCGCTGCTATCTCGGTCACCACCATCCACCACTCGGTGATCGACGAGTTCCGCACTCAGTACCGCCACTGCCCCGACTATCGCGACATCCATGCGACCCTTCGGAGTGGAAAGACCGTCCCGGACTACTCTCTCGGGGACAACAGTCTTGTGTACTTGGATGGTTCACATGGCACCAGAGAGCCCCGTATTTGTGTTCCCTCCACTGGACAGCTACGTGTCCGGGCAGTAGCAGAGTTCCATGACCAGGCAGCCGCCGGTCATATGGGCTTCCACAAGACGTTGGCTCATGTGAGCCGCATGTACGTCTAGCCGAAGCGCAAGGACTTTGTGAAGGACTACGTCGCAGAGTATCCCACCTGTCAGGAGGTGAACAATGCGAACCACTTGCCTTATGGTTTGTTGCAACCTCTTCCTATCCCAGAGGGTTGTTGGCAGTCCATCTCGATGGACTTTATCGGTCCTCTTCGTCCTCCGACCCCCCGTGGTCATGATGCTATCTTGGTCGTCGTCAACCGCTTCACGAAGCATACACACTTTGTTTCGTGCCGCTATGCCATCAGTGCACGTGAGGTCGCCGACATCGTGTTTGACCGAGTCGTGCGTGATCACGGCTTACCTCTGAGCATCATATCTGACCGTGACCCGCACTTTACCAGCCGATTCTGGCGACGGCTCCACGAGGTATACGGCACCCAGCTCCGCTTCTCCTCGTCTTACCATCCCCAGACTGATGGTCAAACCGAGGTCACGAACAAGACTCTCGGAGATATTCTTCGAAAGATTGTTCGTGACGACCAACAGTGGGATCTTCATCTTGCCCACGTGGAGATAACCTACAACCACGCCGTCTCGCCAACCACGGGGATGTCGCCTTACTATTGCGACCTTAGCTATCACCCTCGTGTTCCCGCGGACTTCCTTCGACCGT